AGTCGAGCTAAGGGAGGCCCGGGACCGGTTCAGATAATCGTCACCGACGGTGTTGGCCGTGAGCGGGAATCGAACTCGGTTCGCCGGGTTCGTAGCGCAGCGTAGCGCTAACTGCTACGCTACCGCTCCCCCCCACACACTCTCACACACCACCACCATCACCACACGACTGTGCGTTTAACCGGTTGTTGGAGGCAACGTGCCGCTGCCCAAACCAGTTTGGACCAGTTGTGGAGCCACCAGACGTCTGAGGCTGAAAAAATGCAGACCTCCGCCACCACCACCAACCACCACCACAACACCGCCGGCATTTTAAACACCCGCAGGTGTGGCTGGATCCCACTCTGGCGTGGAGCACGCGGACTCACAGCACGCGGACTTAGAGGCCGTCCATTAATGACGTCACGCACCGGGGGGGGGGGTCAGATATTTGTGACGATGTGTGACAGGGGGGGGGGTGAGAAATATGACGTCACTTCAAAACGCGCAACTTTAAATAAAGATAGACAACACGTTTTGCTTAATTAAATATACTTTTTAATAAATGTTTTCTCCTACAGCATCAGAGTGCAGCGCCACAATAAATGCGCACTACAATGACAATAGTTTAAAGCAATTTGAAGCATGTTTTTTTTGGGGGGGGGGCAGAGCTTTGTGACGTCATATTTTAGGGGGGGTCTGACTTTCTGTGACGCCGTGTGACGATGGGGGGAGGGGGGGTCAAAAATCGTCCAAAATCGCGTGACGTCATTTATGGACGGCCCCTTATGGAATAACGCGACGCGCATAGACGCACGGCACCGCGATCACCAAAACAAACAACCCCCCCCCCCCGACTCAAAAAAACGTGAATTATATTCCTTGCGTGCGATGGCAATTTGTTCAGGAGGGAAATGCCCCAATGTTGGAGGTTTTGCTTGCTGCGGGAAGAAAAAATAGCCGAGAGGGGGGGGGGGGGCTTCAGGAGTGCGTGTCGGTGGAATTTCGTTCGCCGCATGGCTTCCCCATCGTCGTCCGTTGAAGGGGGCGCAGACTCAACGGTGGTGGAATAGTTTGTCGCTGGCCACGGACAGCATCACTGCCGCGTCTAAAAGTTGACACGCAAAAAGTAGGGCACAAAGAGAGAGGGGGGGGGGTGGGGGCCGGCAACGTCGCGAGAGTGTCCTCGTGTCTCGGCTCGTGCTCGCGACGCACATTGGGACGGCTGTTGTCAGAGAATATAACCACAACCAGTAACGCGTGATGATGGGTACAAATTGAGCAATCATCGGAAGGATGTTATTAACCAGGTAAAACCTTAACTGCTTTATAGTTTGCCTTCATATCCGCATCTCCAGTTTCTTCAGCCTCCTACCCCCAGCCCCGCTCACTTCCCAGCCCCGGCATTTTGTCGTCTTGCAGCTCCCCACTGTCCCTACCCCACACCAGCCCCTCTCTATCTCTCCTCCCTGGCTTCTCCCCCCCTCTCTTACCTATATGGCCTCTTGTCACGGCAGCCCTTTTGCCCACTTCAGCAAATTGTTTCTTGCCTATGGTTGTCCCACCTGATGACGGACGCTTGTGTTGCGCCCGAAACGTCGTGATTTAATTTGTTGTATTTTATACCTACCACGTGACTTTACCGAAAGAACCAAAGATTATGGGATCCCTGCAGTCACGAAAACTTCAAATCTAGATTCAGTAACGCGTGAGCGGATGACACGGGGCCGTTGTGGGCAAAGCGTTATCTATCGGGAGAGTGGTTTTTGGACAGATTTAAGAAGTGTACCCTTGAGGGGTGGTGGTGGTGGTAGAGGTTAACGGTGCGTCCGTGACATTGTTTGATCAGTCCACTGCTGGGTAAGACTCGAACTTTCGACTAAGTTCTAGAGGACCCCCTGCATGGAGGCTCTTTGGCCTACTTTTTTTCTGATGCTGGTCAGATTTCTTGAAAGAGGTGGGAATACTCACAGTTTACCCCGCCACAAGCGACCTGCCCCGATCAACTTAACAGGCGTACTCAGTTCATACACACAATGTATCTGTCTGTGTGTCTCCGTGTCTGTGTTTTGTCTCTCTCTCTCAAATTTAGTTCTACCTGATGACGGTTACTCGTGTTGCAATCGAAACGTCGTACTCTATTATTTAATTTATTTTCTTTCCACGTGACTTTACCGAAAGAACCAAACAGTAATTCCTGCAGTCACAAAAGCTTCAAATCAAGTTTCAGTTTTTACTGCTTAGTGGACAATGGTCATGGGGAGGGGGGGGGGTATTTAAAAAAATGTGCTCACACTGGCCAGATTTATTGTAAGATTTGGGTTATCTAGGAGTGGTGAATGAATCGCCCTAGGCAAAAAAAGAGCACAATCCACGATCGTTTATCGTGGATTCTGCAGAGCATACAGCTCTTAAGAGGACACACAGCCCCTCGTGAACGAGATTCACACGAGCCCTCTGCACGTGGACTGTGCAGTCGCAGCACAGCGAAGATGCGGATGATGCTGGCGAGGGGACAGCTCATCATCGAGTGCGACTCGCGGAGATGCGAGCTGACAGACCCCCCCCCCAGCACGCAGTACAGATTTGCGCTTTTTTAACGTCCACGGTGAAGCGACGTTCATCAATGCGTTCGTGTCGGCGGGCGGGCGGGCGGACGTAACCCGCCGGGCCACCTATGGACCACCTCTGGGCCAGGGGTGCCGTGGTGGCTAGGAGATGTTATCTCCCTCGCTTGGTATGCATGAGGACATGGGTTCGATCCCGATCCTGACGCCAACTGTATATTTGGAGCTTGCATGTCTCTCTCTCATCATCATCATCACGGTGGCTAGGAGATGTTATCTTCCTCACCTGGTATGCATGAGGACATGGGTTCGATCCGGATCCTGATGCCAACCGTATATTTGGAGTTTGCATGTTTCTCTCTCATCATCATCACGGTGGCTAGGAGATGTTATCTCCCTCGCCTGGTATGCATGAGGACATGGGTTCGATCCCGATCCTGACGCCTGCTGCTGTATATTTGGAGTTTGCGCGTTCTCCCCGTGGTGGCGTGGAATTTTCTCCGGTTTTTCCCTCCACATTTATAAACGCGCGCTTAAGAGTATTTGGCTCCTATACATTTCCGCCTGATAAGCCACTTCGTTGAGCTATCATATGTGGCCAGGTGTGCTTCTGATAAAGAGCAAATAACTCGGTGGGCTTTTCCTCGTACATTTATTTTTAGTTTTTACGTGACACCTTGCGCCGACAGGGTCGCAACGTTTCAGACAAAAGGGTGCGCCATCAGGGTCAGCCTTGCAAACGAGACTTGATCCTGGCCTCCTTCACGAGTTTTCACCTGGTTAAACAAAACAAGCTTGACTTGAACATTCCGTCGCGAAGTAGACGCACGCGCAGAACGCATTTGGTTCGCAAAAGTCCGGCTCTTGCCGAGGTCCACAAGGTTATGAGGCGGTCCGGAGTTTGCTCGCCGAAGCAAATGCTGCCCGTTTAGACGTGACGGTGACCGATGGGCCGATAGAACAAGACGTTAACAACTCGTATCAAGATACAGGAGAAGGCCAACAACACCCGAGGACCGTCGACTTGACTGCCAACCCAAAGCGGGTTGGAGAGTTTTTCTTATTGTACCGCAGCGCCCTCTACCGTCAGACCTGCAACGGTTTGAAGCTCTGGACAACGGCGACCGATGGAACTGCAGCACGAGAGGGGGGGGGGGGGGTAGCGTTTGTGATTCTTGCCGGGGGTAATTGAAGCAATTTGCGGGACCCCGGGGTCCCATCACTGCCCCGGGGTGGGAAAAACCGCGTAGCGACACGAGTCTTGCTGCCTTACCGACAACAAAACTAGTGGTCAATCGATTGGCCTCGTCGAGAGCTACTCGGGGCACTGAGTTTCGTAAAAAGTTGAAAAATTACATAAACACGTTAAATTCACTGCCTAGGGGGGGGCGGCGGGCTCGCCTTGGCAAAGAAGCTGAGGATCGACGGCTGACCGGAGGGCGTCGTCGCCGCGCGCGACTGCGGCGGACGCCCCCCGGGGCTCGCGTTTGGCCGGTGGGGTGGCGCCCGTCGTGTCGATCGCCGCCTGCTGCTGGCGCTTGTTGGCGCGAGTCTGGGCGGGCGGCGCGTTGCTGTCGGGATCACGAGTGGGCGGACTGAAAAATAATAATTATTTACCTAATTTTTGCGGGACCCCGGGGTCCCGCCAAATGATTCAATTGTTTGCAGCGACGTATTGTTAACGCAGTGACGTGCGGTTCAGAAGCACTGGTCGTCAACTAAGCAAACGGAACAAAAAAACTGAAAAGTGGGCAGAGAGGAGGCGTGGGTAGTTGCGCGATTGGAATTACGCTGTGCGTTTGATGAGCTTCTTTCGCACCATACGTAGCCAACCGTGCTAATGGGAGGTGCAGGGGAAGGACAACAAACTAAACACAAAAAGCAGTTCTAAAGAAATTAGTTTTTAATTTAGATTGCAAAGCTCCGGTGGCTTTATAATATCGGAAGGAAGAGCGTTCCAGACGGCCGAAGACGATGACCGTCCTTGTTCGATGCCTGAGATAGAGAAAGAGGAACGCGTGGATTGGAGAACATCCGCAGGTTAATGACATCATTCAAACTGTTGATCATGACGGCCGATGGTCAATGAGCCAAGGAGAGGAGCGTGTCCGAGAGTGCCGTCCGCCGAGGAGATGGAGCGATAAAAATAGTTAATGGGCAGCTGCTGGATGTTTCGATTTATAATTTACGTTTTGGGTTAGGCCACGTTACTGTCAGGTCCCTTTAACCAGCCGACATTGCCAAATGATCAATTTCCACGTTACACTATTACGTTGGCTGTGGAAAACGTTGCGTGTCAAGCTGGAACCGGATTATTACATGGTAGGAGGGTGAGCGGCTTGCGTGAGGCCTTCACCCCGCAGTGGGATTGACCGTGTCGACGACGACGACGACGTTACCAACGATCGAGCTCACGCCCAGGCCCTTGCTCGTGGGCTTCCCCGCCCGCTCCAGGTGCTGAAGCGGAAGGAGCGCGAGTGCGAGCACGAGGTGGAGTGGCTGGCGCGCGAGAAGATCGGCCTGCAGCAGCGCCTGGCCGCGCTGCGCAACGAGCTCTCGTCGGCGCTGGAGCCGCACGAGGTGGAGGCGCTGGTGCGCGACGCCTCCGGCGGGCACGGCGGGCACGGCGGCGGTGACGGGCAGCGCCGGCCGTCGGAACACCGCGACGGCGGACGGGGCAACCCGTACGACGACGACGACGACGGCGAGGACGAGGGCGACGACGACGACGACGAGGAGAACATGGACGAGGACCGCAACGTCGCCGACGACGACGACCAGACGTCCACCGCGTCCGGTGAGGTTCGGCGCGCGCCGCAGGGTCGTGGGCGTCGTCGCGGACATCCGCCCACGGCGGGTTGTTGGGGGGGAGGTCAGGGCGGTCGCTGGATCGTGCTTTTCGCCCGGGTGACCTTTTCACCTGGGCGAACAGAGCGTGGTCTTAAAGCAAGGGCATGCTTGAGACTGGCAATGTCAATTATACAAGGTGGGGCCGTGTCAAAATAAATACGCTGTGACGGTGATCGGGTTCCAGTGCAGAATTCAAATGTAGCGTCGAACGTCACAGCGAAACACTGCGGCACACAAAGAGGTTCCGCTGCAAGAAAACTAAAACTAGCAGTTGAACTCGCAGACGGCCTCCTCTTCCTGCCGCTTCTGTCCCACTGGCCCCACCCTTTGAATTGCCCCCCAACATCACGTCCAGTGGCGTCGCGCGGTCGGCAAAGGGCCTGGCGCACTCACACGCCACGTGGGCTCCGGCGCAGTTGACACTGCCCACAAACTCGACGTCATGCGCCGTCATTCGGCCTAGCCCGCCCTCATCCACACGTCTCCACCGTGACTAATGTAGACTCGTAGTGACATAGCTCTGCTGCAGGTCGACCTCGCCTATCGCGTCTCCCCGGGTCTGCGCTTTGAGGCGTTTAACATCACGGCGCTCGTGCCAGGGTGCCTCGGAACGTTGGCAGTAACTGGCGCTGTGCTTTCCTTGCAGAGGGGGAGGAGGGCCCGGAGCCGGCTGTCGTCAACCTCCCGCTGTTGGTCAATTCGGAGCACGCGCCGCGCGACCTCTCGCTCGCCGAGTGGATGGTCGCGCCTCTCTCTGGCTCTCCGCACTGCTTGGGGCAGGCTCCCCGCAACAACGTAGTGCAGCAGAATCAGCAGCAGCAGCAGCAGCAGGGCAATCACTGCACTCCACTGAACTCCACGCAGCAGCAGCAGCGGCCGCAGCAGCAGCAGCCGCAGCCGCAGCAGCAGCAGCCTCCGCAGATGGCGGTGGCTTCAACTCAGGGCCACGCAACTTCCCCGCCACCTGCCAGCGCCTCGTACCGAGGCCCCGCACCGCGGCCGGACTCGTCGCGCCCAGCGCAGCCTCAGCCGGCGTGCAACGGCGTGCCGAGCCGGGCCCCGGCCGCTGCCCTGCCGCGGGGCGAGCGGGCGGCGCTGCCGGCCTCGCGGCCCGTGGCGACCGTGGTGTCACCCCGCGGCTGCGTGGTGTCGCGGGCGCCGGCGATCGTGGCTCGGGTCACTCCTGTCATTCAGACGTCGGTGATCCGTGGGCCCACGAATCCAGCCCCGTTGAAAAACCACAACCTCAACATCAATCATTTTCCGCATCAGCACAACCATCACAATCATAGCGATAATCACCACCACCACCATCATCATTTCCAGCAACATCACCAGCAGCAGCATCTCGAACACAACCACCATCAGCACCATCACCTCGCGGGCAGCCTCGCTCACACACCTCCGCCGCTGGTCAAGCCGCAGTGAGGGGGACAATGCGGGGAACGCGTTTGTCTCGGTTGAAGAGCTGCGGGACTGGTGGAATGGGTGGGCACAGAGTTGCCTCCATCTGCCTCCCCAGGACGTCGAAGCAGACCGAGCGGAGGAGCTCCCCTGCCAGGTTCGCAGTTTATTCCTTCACTCTCGATCCATGATGATGTGACCTTGGAGAAGCGGAGGAACAGAATCAACAGCAGTGGCAAAACTTAACGTGCACTCCGGGGGCTTGTTCGAGTCGTGGAATATCCCTGCTGTTTCCAAGTTCGTGGAGCGGCTCTGGGTTTTGGTGGCGGCGTGCCCATCGCGTGTTGCTTGGGCGGGTTGGGTGCTCTTGTTAATCCTTCTCGAGCCGGCTCCGTTTCACCTCACCTTTCGCAATATGGGCGGAAGACCCACGAAGCTCTGCCTCTCTCACATGTGAATCTTCCCGCGCTCTGTCGAGTACTGGATGCGCCCATTGTAGGAGCTGGAATCTTCCACGATGGTTGAAGTGCACCAAGGACCAATCCAGCTCCATTCTTATACGGCAAACAAAAGGAGCTGTAAAAAAAAAGTAAAAAAAAGAGAAAAACCCCTCGGATCCTCTTTTTCCATAATGAGCACTTGACTTGTCCAGCGGTTCGGGCGACTCACTCGAGAGCGAGCCAATCACCTGCGCTTGCCCAGAACTAGCTGGCCTAGCTGCAGCAGGGCCAGGTGCTCGCGAGAGGCCGAGTCAACCCGAAGAAGTACCACCGAACGGCGACGAGGGTCGGCCTCACCACGAACTCAAGACAGCGAGGCCTGCCTAGGCAAGAGACACTCATCAAGTGCTAATTCCATAAAAAAAAGAAATTTCCCCACCCCCACCCCAACAAGGAGGTTCTCATGCGGCATCTCTAGTTTTTATTTCTAAGTGCGTGCGTGCGTGCGTGCGCGTGCCTCTCCGTCTCCTCGAAACCCACACACGCTACTGTGATCATTTTGACACCAATGGTTAGCAGATAATATCTGTTTGTGCCTCCCTCCATCCCTGCCTTTCCCCCTCCCCCCCCCCCTCCAAAAAAAAAAATCAAGTTCCTAGCACTAATAGTTTATATATATGTAGAAAAATAAAAAAAAAATAAGAAAAAATAATTACCGTGCAATAGGCTGCGCTGAAGTTGCTGAAGACGGAGGAGAAAGCTGTCGGCTTGCGGTGCGTAGGCATCGCTTTGATCGCAAGCTGCCCGCCCCCCCTGCTCTTGCCCCGACCAACGGAGAAGGAGCGCAGAGTGCCCCACGCCTGGCCTGCGTCCCGCGTTATCTCTCCGAGCCACCTTGGAGGGGGTAGCGCGGAGCAGGTGGACATGAAATGGGGTGGACTGCGAGGGGCGGGTGGCAGCGCACGTGGCTCGCTCGTTCGCTCAGTTTGTTTCATCCGTCTGTAGCGGCCTCCCCCCCCGCCCCTCGTTTATCTGCTGCTTCCCTGAGAGGACGAGCGACGGCCGCGGTGCCCGATGGACCTTGTCTGGCCACACCACCACCACCATCGCCGCCGCCGTCACCGCCTGGTTATTATGGTTGTGACCGGATGGACTGACAAAAGATACAATGTTTATTTTTTAACTCTCACGTTTACTTTTTTTCTGGACTACGAAGCGGATTTGTTATTTTTTGTGACCATCTGTGGCGAGGCTAGAGGCTTGGGAATTACAAAAGAAAACAGCCTCGATCGTAAAAAAAGAAATGTTTCCAAGCCAATCGTGGGTTGAAATGCTGTATCTGCATAGACTAGAGGATTTTGGACTGGAAGCATAATAAAAGGTAAAAAAAAATTAACATAAAATAAAAAAACAACAGCTTATAATTTGTTCGGGTAAAAAATAACTAAATCTATATCCGGAGAATGCTTTGTGTTGGAAAATCATGCTAATAATCTACAATGTATGAATGTTGAACTTCTTTCGTACCGTACGTAGCCAATCGGAGGTGCGAGAGAAGGCCAACAAAGCAACACTACTGCTACTACTACAAGCAACACTACTGCCATTTTCACTCGGGTTCATACGATGCCCCTTTTGGATATTGCAGTACGTACGTTCTTTTGGAACGATCCACATCGCGCCGATTCCACACCGTACGTCGCCAACCGTTTCACTGTTTAGGTTTCAATGTGATCCACATTGTGATCCACATTGAAATCGAAACTGTGGATTCAGGATGGGAGAACAAAAAAAAAAATTCAACTCTGTTGTTTTTTTTCTCTTTCCGTCGTTGCTAAATTTCTTCCCCCATTTTATAATTTTTCTAAAATTTCACATTTTAAAAGTAACTCTTCTTGTTTATGTCCTCCCACCCCCCCCCCCCCCCCCCCATTTGTGTTATTACTGTACGTTTGTTTATTATTGTTATTGTTTTTGGGCTGTAGACACTGATGTGACCGCAAGCTGTATGAAAGGAGCTATCGGCCAATCCGCCGCCTGTAATTGTCCGTGACGGCACCACAGCGCCTGGTGGATTTCGTGACTTGCGGCCTGCCGAGCTTTGATGATCGCCACCATTGGCGCCCCGCTAGACGCGTTCCTTTGCTGGACAGCCGGGGTGGGGAAACTACGGCCCCCGTGGGCCGGACATTTCGTTTCATGTACCCCGTGGCCACACGAGGCCTACGCAAGGCTTAATTTATGGAATATTTACCGGAGCTCAGATCCCTCGACATTAAGCCACAACATCTTGCAAGCAATATTTATTCGTCACTGCAAACATCTTCAGTCGCACTAATCGGGTACTAGAGGGGACATGTTTTTGGCCCGCCAACAACACTGTGTTTCTAACTTTTCAATGCGCTCCATCGCTTGTGTTCATGCATGGGCCTCCTGCCGGAGGTATTCGGAAGTCCTATCCGGCTGTCAGCACTCGAAGGAAGCGATTTCCTCCCCACCTACCCCTGCTGTAGGGTCTTGCGACGATCTCGTAGCGAGGCGTTCCGGAGCGAGGCAGCCGCCTGGTTGAATCTGTTCACGATGCACTACCTAATTAAATGGTGCCGCCCTCTCCGATGTGCGCTCATTGATTGAGATGCACTTCTGCTACACAAGTAATGTGTTTTCTTTTGAAGTCTTAAAGATTTAAGAAATCTTTAATGTCTTGTGATTCCTGTATGAAGTGTATCTGCTCTGTGTGACCTTCCTCGATCTCGTGATGTTTCTCATTTTTCATTTCCCCCCCCCCCCACCTTGAAAGAAGACAAATCCCCCAACAACGGTGATTGACTTTTTTTTTTAAAGCATGCGCGCTTTTTAAACATTTACGAGGGGCGTTTGAAGGCTGTGCGGTGTTGTGCGAACCTGGGAGCACAGAGACGATGCGGTGAAGGCTGCTGCATGGATCGGACGTGGAGTTTGTCGATCGGATCTGTAATTACTGTATTAATGAGTGTCAAGACTCCATTCCAAAGACTCCGCTGCTGGGTTATTCCCCCCCCCCTCCCCGAAGCGGCCTCTCCCATCCTGTAACACAGCGTCTCCGCATCTCAATGCCCCTATCGGTCATTCAAACACAGATGAAGTTGTTACATGCCGCACGAGCCTGATGATTGCTAAAAAAACACACCTTCCGTGCGACGTATACTGCCGATTCACGTGAAGATGGGGATGTCCTGCATTTGCACGCGTCTTGTTCGTTGCGCGTGTGGATCTGTGTCCTAAGACACGATGCAGCCGGCGCCGGGGGATCTTGTGCGTGCAACGCCGATTCAAATTTGCACATCCTCTGTGTATGCACGCGAGTGTCCCCGTGTTGACGTCGCGCGAGGCTTCGATTCGAATTGAATGGAACGGTGCGCGTGTAAGAAGCGCGTGCCCCAAGGGCTGTGTGAGGTTAGAGGCGCCGATTCGAAGCGAGAAGCTGCGCCTCGACTACACGCGTGGTGGCGCGCTTCAGCAATCATCAGGCAAGGGCGCGCGTAACAGCCTTGCCGCTTGCGAGCGGAGGATGACCGATCGGTGGAGCGTGGGCGCGCGGCTGCAACGGCCGGAGATTTGGGAAGACCCTGTTTGTAAAGCGCGCCACACACTCGCCAAAAAAAACAAAAAACGTGGTCTCTCCTCCACCCCACACCCCCACACCCCCACCCCGGTGTTTGCTCGTCATGAATGAACGCGAAGGTGCGGGGGGAGCAGGGCAGCGGCCAAATCGTGATCGCCACAGTGTGGACACGGTTCTTCCATTTCGTCAGTGAACACGGGCAGTTGCGCACAAACACTAAAAGAAATAAATAAAACACCGTGAGAAACGCTACGGACGTAACCCGCCGAAGCCTTACATTGACGTGAGCAACCGTGACTGGACTTGTGCCGTCAGGCCGCACCGGGCTATCCCCTTGTTGTATGCTAAGAGGAATACAAAAATGAAATAAAACCAGACGATTTGCACAGAGAAAACCCAGGTTATTTCTACTACTGTTTGTACTCCCCCCCCCCCCCCCCCGTTGCCTTGTACGGAACCCTCCTGCACAAATGAAATAAAAAATGTAAAGAAAATCGAATAAGAATCTTTATCATTGTCGGAATGTTTATCCTGGAGAAATACGATAAGCTATGAAGCTCTTCCCCCCCCCCCCCCCCCACAGATGTCCGGAAGATGTAAAAACGACCGGAAGCCTCTATTTTAATTTATTCCGCATGGTCCTGTGTATTACAATCGTTACTGATAATTAGAATAAAACAACTTTAATACATTCGTCAATAAGTGTCGCCATAAAAGGAAAAATATATACAAGAGGCCGACTTTTTGTGCAATGGTCCTTCATAGCACATGATGTGCTTATTGAGAAGGGCCATTGCCTGAAACGTTGCCTATTATATATTGTTTTCCTTTTTAAGGCCACGGTGTAATTGACGAATGTGTCGAGGCTGTTTTATTATTTGTCATGGCGCACCACTGAAAACTTAGCAGCAGCAGCATCACCATTTAACAAAAAAAAGTAATAATGCCATACAATGACTCTCCTCTATTTACGAATACTCGACTTTCAAACTTTCCGAGATACGAACAAACCTGTCCGTATGTCCAGTTGCCTGTTCGGACCGAGAGTCGTTAAGTTTAACCGCCGCGTAGATAGGTGGCGGTGGCGGTGGCGGTGGCGGTGGTGGCGGTGGCGGCGGTGGCGGCGGCGGTGGTGGCGGCGGCGGTGGTGGCGGTGGCGGTGGTGGCGGTGGCGGTGGCGGCGGTGGCGGCGGCGGCGGCGGCGGTGGTGGTGGTGGCGGTGGTGGCGGCGGCGGTGGTGGCGGTGGCGGTGGTGGCGGTGGTGGCGGCGGCGGTGGTGGCGGTGGCGGTGGTGGTGGTGGTGGTGGTTCGGTGTCATCCCCCAGCATTCCCAGAATGTCTGCCTGGCCCGCCACGGTTGTCCGTTGTTGCGTTGTCGCTGTGCGGGATCACTGCGACGTGCTCGGTGACACTATTTAGACTTAAAACTTTCGTGACTGCAGGAATTCATATTCTTTTGTTATTTCGGTAAAGTCACGTAGATAGAAAATAAAATAAAAATAACAGATGAAAATAATAAAAGCAAAAAAACCCACAAAAAAATAAAAAACCCAGCATGTCTCAGAAGCGTAAGAGTGGTGAAAGTGGTGAGGGTGGTAGTAAAAAAAATAACCAGTTGCATCTACATCTACAGGAGATTATACAACGTTTAAAGACATTCCTCGTGTTTAGTGTACATGCCGTACAACACGTTTGGAATCGACAGGAGTAAAGTTGGACTTACGAACAAATCGATTTACGAACACACCTCTGGAACCAAACGAGTCCATATACTGCAACACTTTCTCAATCCGCTGCTGAATGAAGGCTTCCCCATCGTACCAGGGTCAATTCTGGGGGTTGTTTGATAACCTGACCCCCTTCAACGATCCCCACGCTAGTCAGCGGGGGCGTAAACAGGATGAGTTTCAGATGCTGCATTGCTCGCCAATGACGTTCAAGTAAGCCGGGGCTGGCAATTAAACTCGGGTTTGCCAGGTTCATAGCACCTTGCAACTTAACCCACTGCTCCATCACTCCCACATTGGGAGGGGGGGGGGGGTGATTTCCAATGCATTTTATATTAAACCATTTGCAGTGGTGGGGGGTGGAAGCAGAAATTAACATCGCTCGCAGAAAGGCTTTTGGTTTGAGTGTCATTCTTCATGCAATCTCATAGTCTGGAGATGTAGCGGAGTGTCAATTGCTACTGTGTGCATGTTGGTGGGTAAGAGTGTGGTTTTTGATGGCGGTAGTGTAACACGAGGCAATAAGCGTGGGAGTTGGGATTATGAGTGAGTCGGACCGTGGGCCGAGAGGCTATAAGTGGGTTCTGGGGCAGGAACTGAGATTGGTTGATGGAGTGTGTGTTGGAGCTAGAGGAAGGGGGCATGCGGTTTGGGGGTTTTGAGTGCGCATTGAGATCAGAGATGGGAATATTAGGAGTTGTGAATTGGGGTTGAAAGTGTGCGTTGGGGGTCAAAGGTCGGTCATGTGGTTTGCGCTTTGGAATGTGGGAGTACGTATCGAGTAAAAGGGAATGCGAGTTGAATTTACGAGTGCGAGTTAGGATCCGAGACTTGCGGTCACATGGCAGCGGGCTCGGGTGATGAGTTTGAGAGGAGCTCAGAGGAGGTTGAAGGCTTCAGGGCAGGGAGTGCGAGACGCGTTTCGACCCCGCGAGCACCTCCGACATATCCCTCTCGGCCCCCCCCCCTCTTAAAACTCTACCTGCACCTCCTACGTCTCCATGTTCAGTAACCAAATGTTGCTGCCCCCCCCCGCCCCCAACTCTAACCTCTTCATATTTTGCAATGATTTAACGTCGATGTATTTTTGTTGTTGTTGCAAGATTCGCGTCAACGATGTTACGTGCCGATGACGGATCGGAATCTCCGTGAGCTCTACGATGTCCCTCCTGGGGCGTTATCCTTTTCTTGTGTGTGCCTTCTCTGAATGCTGTCCCCTATTGCGCCATCGGTGTCACGTCACGGGAGACGCGGAACCCTTCATGTTGGACAACGCCCCAAGGAAGTGGACATTACGGAGCTGGCCCCTAAAATGCCCTTTCAGGTGGCCACTGGCCCTCCACACTGGCCCTCCACACTGGCCCTCCACACTGGCCCTCCACACTGGCCCTCCACACTGGCCCTCCACACTGGCCCTCCACACTGGCCCTCCACACTGGCCCTCCACACTGGCCCTCCACACTGGCCCTCCACACTGGCCCTCCACACTGGCCCTCCACACTGGCCCCCCACACTGGCCCTCCACACTGGCCCTCCACACAAGTAGCGGGTAGCATTTGCCCACACGCTCGGCAGGAAATCTCATCACGTGACAGTCAAGCTGATACTTTAAATTCTCAGAGTTGGGACTTTAGTCAACGGTGACCGGGTTGAGACCATCACCTCACCACACTTAAAAAAAACGGCTTCACCTCAGATGGTTGCCTGGATTTGCAGCCAGGGATATCAACGGCTCAGCGCTCGGACCTCTGAGCTACCCGGCAGCCACTTCGCCGTCTGTTCCCTCATGCTGGCTTGACGACTCTCATCTGGGATTAGTTCGTAATCCAGGTTGAACGCACATTTAAACACAAGCCCCCCACTTCATTGGCATGGGGTCAAATCGTAAACAAAAGACTCTGCGGCCAATTTAACTCCTCCGAAATTAGGCATCGATTTCGCCAAATGGCAACCCAAAATCTGAGCATCACTCTCTGAAGCAACTGAACCATTTCTCCCACCCTCGCATCTCTCAACTCATGCAGATTGATAAAACTGATATCTTTAAGACCTGCTTTTTGTGTTTAGTTTGTTGTACTTCCCGCGCACCTCCGATTAGCACAGTTTGGGTACGTACGGCGCTAAAGAAGTTCAACATACGTACATACTATGAATAACTGTTGACACGTCCCTCTCGCGAACGAGATTCATCCTGGGCTCTTCAGTTACCACATGGTTCAAATAAATAGTAAAAAAAAAACCCACACCAAACCCTTGCCCATCGCGTGGGGTAAAGTTCTTGAAAAATATCCGGAATTAACAAATCCGTGACCCGCAAACTCAAAACTAAAGTATGGTTCTCGGTTCACGCGCCTCCTTTTGTTTTACGTTACCTTTACACGAATCCCAAACATGAAAAGGGAAGTTTTTCTCACGTAAAATATCATTAATATTTTTTCGACAGTGTTAAAACAGAACTTGTGCGGTAAATGTACAAGAATGGGGGAGGTGAAAAAAAGAAAGAGAGAGAGAATGTGGAAAGAACATTCCTCCGGGCGGCTGAACCTTGCTGGGAAAAAAAAACGCGCAACCTGGGACCGTTCGGCCTGCGTGGGAGACGCGATGCAAACGAGACGGAATTCTTCCTTGGCAGCAGCAGCATCGTGAGCAGTGTGTAAAGTAAAGTGCATCCAGTACAGGGACGTATTTATGTACAGGAATCTCGTGGTCAACCGAGAATGGTCGAGCCGCAAGGGGGGGGGGGGGGCGTGATCGGCGAACTGCACACCCCGATAGATCTGGCGTGAATGGTCAAATCCGCGATGGGAAAAGCCGCGATGGTGCGAGGTTTTGATGTAAACTTGAACGAAAGAAGTGTGTGGGGGGGGGGGGGATTGTGGGGGGCGCAGTCCTCTGCATCGACCCATCGAATGCAGGAACGTCCGCCGCTCGCCGAGCGTGAATGTCTCGTGAAGACACTCAGAGACAATAACAGAGATAGATGGCAGGATTATTATTCCTCCTCCAGGAACGCAAGATAAAACCGACCAGGTACTATTGCTGCGACAGAGGGTGTCAATAAAACGCCGTACTCGTGCACATTATTGTCAACACGCGGGTTTGCGTTTTTAATGCAGAATTATTTTTTTGATGAAAAAAATTGAAGGAATTCCCAGTCTCATTGTGCGTGCAGGGCCGATGGAGGGGGGGGGGGCTGGTGGTGGGTGGGGGGGGGGGGCTGGTGGTGGGTGGGGGGGCGGTAGTCGCGTGCAGCCCCCCAGGCAGTCAAGACTCGGGGTGGCGTCGTCACCACGCCCGGCGACCCGCGCTCCAAC